GAGCTCCCTCACTCGACTGGGCTATTGGACCTGTGCCCTCCTGAAGCACTGCCCCGACCTTGAGCTCCCTTGCCTAGAGCACTGCCCTTTCTCTCAAGGTTGACCAACCACCTAGCCTTCTTAATGAAAAAGAGCACGGTAACAAAACTTTCTACTCCTGCTTAATAAAAAACGTGTCAACGCACGATCTCGAAAAAAAACCTAGCCTTCCAGACCTCGAGACGACTTCCTGGAGGCTCAGTCCTACAACGGTGAAAGGTCCTAATAGCTAGAGGTGGGTGAATAGCCTATTAAAAATTTCTACAACAACACTCAGCAAATATGTTAGACAATCAAACGGCGCGACGTGTTCCTTCCTTTACTAAAAGAGCAAGCCATTCTCCACTAAGCACACAATTTGTTAAGTCACTATACTAAGTTAGTGAGCTCTCAAAGGCTAACTAAAGAGCCTCACTAACCACTAGACTCGATGCAAGCTAGCTCTAAAAAATAATTACACTAAAGATCTTAGCTTACACACTAAAAATGTAATACAAGAGATGATGGCGATGATTATACCGACGTGTCGAGGTATGAGCCAATCATAAGATGGAGCCAATCAATCAATCACAAGATAACCAATGAAATCTTCGGACAAGGTGACATAAGATTTTATATCAAAGTTCACTTGCTTGCTGGCAAGCTAGTCTTCGTTGTGGCGATTCACTCACTTGGAGATTCACGCGCTAATTGGCATCACACGCCAAACCCTCAATAGGGTGTCGCACAACCAACAAAAGATGAGTATCACACAAGCCACGAGTAATCCATTAGAGTACCTTTTAGCTCTCCACCGGAGAAAGGTCAAGAACCCCTCACAATCACCACGATCAGAGTTGGAGACAAGCACCTTCCTCCGCTCGACGATCCTCGCTGCTCTAAACCGTCTAGGTGGTGACAACCACCAAGAGTAACAGGCGAATCCCGCAGCGAAACACGAACACCAAGTGTCTCTAGATGCAATCACTCAAGCAATGCACTTGGATTCACTCTCAATCTCACAGAGATAATGAATTAATGATGGAAATGAGTGGGAGGGCTTTGGCTAAGCTCACAAGGTTGGACCCAAGAGAGTGAGCTAGAACCAGTCACGCGAGCCCCCAACCAAATAGAGCCTGTTGGGCTCACTCCTCTCCACGGCGATCGGACACATAGGTTGGGGCGACCGCCACAGGAGACCCCTAGCGCTCGGTCCCACGATCGTTTCCTTCCTTTGATTCTCCACGTCCCACCTTCGCCCACGCCAACACTCAAGTGATGACTGGACGCAGGGCCCGACGCGCGATGCCGCCACTGATCGGACATCACCCAACGACGGATCGCCCTCCCCCGCGATCCAGAGGTGATTTTTCATGACCGGACGCGTCTTCTTAGGTATGATGGACCCGCTAGCTCCTGCATCTAGTCAACCTCGAGACAGCCCCTTCTCAACTCCAACTTCGCCACCCTTGGTCATATGTGCTAACCACCAAGTGTATCACCTTGTGCACGTGTGTTAGCATATTTTCATAAATATTTTCAAGGATGTTAGCACTCCACTAGATCCTAAATGCATATGCAATGAGTTAGAGCATCTAGTGGCACTTTGATAACCGTATTTCAATACGAGTTTCACCCCTCTTAATAGTGCAGCTATCGATCTTAAATGTGATCACACTTGCTAAGTGTCTCGATCACCAAACCAAAAAATTCCTATCAAGTTTCACCTTTGCCTTGAGCTTTTTGTTTTTCTCTTTCTTCTTTTTCCAAGTCCAAGCACTTGATCATTACCATGGTCACACCATCATCATGATCTTCACCATTGCTCCACCACTTGAAATAGTGCTACATATCTCATAATCACTTTAATAAACTAGGTTAGCACTTAGGGTTTCATCAATTCACCAAAACCAAACTAGAGCTTTCATACATGCACCGTGCCCTGCCGGCCACCCCTACTCACAAGATCCCCTTCCCGTCGGCTACCCCTGCTCATCACAAGCTAGTTGTCTGAGTCAACCTGCTTAGCGGCCATGATGTCATGCTCACCGGTCACCCTCTCGTACTTGAGCTCCTTCACCTCGAGCTCACCCGAAGGGGCTCGATTGTCGTGTGTGGAGTATGGAAGATGAGAGGAAAAATATAAAATTAAATAAGAAAATATATGTGATATATAAATGGGTCGCAAAAATTAAGGATCCTAATTTGAAGGCTCCTACTAGAGCTGAGCCAAAAAAGACCCTCAAAAGAAAGGGAGGTGTTTAGGTCCTGATTTGAGAACCATTGCTGGAGTTGCTCTAACTAACCTAGTTGTCAAAGTATATCCTAACTTTATTGGAGTGTTTTCACATATATGAATTTATTAATTTTACACATCAAAGGTAGCAAGTTCAACCTACTGTCTTTATCACCGGATTCGAATCCATGGCACATATTCTCGCATTGGGCTCCCACTCTTGTGTTGTCCTATTGCATTTATTGATTTCATATATTTGTCTCAAAACACAACAATGCATTTAGCTAATACATTTACTCCCTCCGTCCTGTAATATAAAATATTCTAGCATTCAAATTTTGTCCTCAAATATAATGCACTCTAGAGGACAAAAAACCAATTTTACATTAAATACTTTCCATTATCAACCAATCACCATTAATCACGTTGATGATAACGTTTGATTAGGAAATAAAATAAAGGTGCATGCGTCTTTTATATTCTCTCTTAATTTATCTTAAAATTTCTAAAATGCACTATGTTACAGGACAGAGAGAATAGGTTTTATAACGTACAGATTGGCACAAGACATAAAAAGTGTTGATAATGACATTGATGTCCTTAATTGCCCACTACAGTGCAACAAAAATGGAGTAATGATGAATCAAGGCTATCATAGTACAAATAAAGGCCCCCATATTCTAGTTCCATGATCTAAATACTAAAATATATCTTTTTCTCAAACGTAGTTCAATCATACTATTGATCGAAAGGCAAAAATTAAGCTCAAAGAAAACATGGACTATATAAATTATAGCACAATATCTTGGTTGCGTATATTAATGTTAAGGGTAAATTGATATTGGGCATTTGGACCTAGCTCAAGGGTGAAATCTTATACTATTAGTAATTGGAGACCACAATGGAGTCTTGTTCTCATGAGGTGCTACAAAAACAAAAGGATAAATCTTAGGAATTCTGACAAAAATCATAACATCCAGCCATCAATTTAGTATACCCTAATCATCTTTGACAACAAGTTATTAGATCTAATATGTTTCTTTTAAAAAAATACCTTAATATGCCACTATAAAAATAACATAAAATAACCTCCATAAAATTGCATCTAAACATATGGACCATTATGAGAGATAATTTAAAGTAACCTTAAAAATTTTGTGCCTAAATTATCCACCTATAACTATAAAGATAACCTGAAATAATTATTAATTTGTGCCTAAATTACTCATATATAGCATTACCTACATTTGTATAGAAATTAAACATATCTGTCATTAATACATATGTTAAGTAACCCTTAATTGTGCATATAAAATATTCAATATCCTCTCAAATTTTCTTCTAAACTACTGGCATCTACTATTTAAAAAATAAATAAATAAATAGCCATAATATATATAGGGTAATTCCTTTCTATATATATACTCAATACTCACTTCTATTCTACCTCTTTTACTATATAAAAATATTAGTTTAAAGTAAACATACATACTGTGTGTTAGTGTACCTGCATTCATAGCTGATGGATGCATTGATAGAGTAAATTCAACATCTAGAGCAATGAAACGATTGTTTATGGAAATATAATAAAATCCATCTTGTAAAAGATTTTTGAATTAAAGGTGTTTATTGAGTTCTAACATAATAGATGGATAGCAAAGAGTTCCAGCTTAAAAGATGGATAAAAATTCAATAACTCAAAATTTGAAAGCTAAAATCTAGATTCATGGCATCACGACACATGGGTTGCTGAAGCTACACATAACCACATATTGAAGACAAACATATGAGTGATGCAAAAGGGGGAAACAATGAAAATGGATGAAAATCATATAAAATAGTTGGTAAATCTATCACAACCGGATAGAGATCATGGAGTATCTATGTGGGTAATGTGTTAGAAAAATGAATAGAGAGAGAACAAGTGCAAACATAAGTGATTTTGATTAGTTGTTTAGGTACTAAAAGTATCCATAAACTTCTAATACTTGTGTCTTATAAGATTTCCAAAGCATATGTCCTCTATCTTGTGATGAATCCAACGAGAGTGCCTAACTCTAGATGTTGAATTTAAATTGAAGGGCAGTAGTGTGTTTGGCTTGGAGTGCATAGGCTTGTGCTCTAGAGAGTGCATATATGGTAAAATTTTGATCTTACTCACTATATTTTCACACTTTTAGGGATGGATTTGCATCTCTAATTCCTACATAGCTTCAACTTGGACATATGGGAGTAGTATTGACATCCATGGCACCGGAGAACTTCGACACCACACATAGCTAGTTAGATATATATACAACAGGGATATAGATGACCTGTACGTCAACACAAACATTTTTTCATTGGCATGCAACGTGTCTATCAAGTATCAATATTGAGACATCTGTAGTGAATTCATTACTTTTAAGAAGGATAGGGTGTATATGTTTGTGTTTATAAGAGTGTACGTGAGTGTACGCGTTTGTATGTATACGAGCATTTTTCATATGTTTCGCGGGAAAACAAATTTATTGGTCAACCAATCTCTGAATTGGAAAAGAACAACAAAATCTCTGGATTGGGAAAGAAGACACGATGTAGTACGAGTATTAACTGACATCGATCGATGACACCAAAAAACAGCTGCACATAGCTAGGTACAGATTTGGCGACAGGGAAGAAGAAACACGAGGAGCCGAATGCACGCCAACACCGACACTACAGTAGTGCCAAACAAACTAGCAGCAGCTAAGACAGACAGCAAGCATCACGCTGCCGCCCCCTGCGGCACCATCATGCGCGAGAACTCGTCGAAGCAGACGAAGCCGTCGCCGTCGGCGTCGACGCCGCCGATCATGCGCCGGCAGTCGTCGACGGAGCAGGCCTCATCGCCGAGCGAGGCGAGCACGGCGCGGAGCTCCTCGGCCGAGATCCGGCCGTCGCCGTCGGCGTCGAACACCGCGAACGCGTCGCGGAGCTCGGCCTCGTCCTCGGCCTCCGCCGCCGCGGCCGCCTCGGGCGCCAGCCCGGCCGCCTCCGCCTCCGCCAGCACCGCCGCCAGCTCCGCCTCGCTCCGCACCACCCGGCGCAGCGCCACCTCCAGGTCCTCCCGCGTCACGGGCACGGCGGCTAGTACCGGCGGTCTCGGCTTATTCGGCTTGCCGTTGCCGCCACCCCCGGCGGACGACGACGACGACGCGGATCGGATTGGGAGTGGGAGGACGGTGCGCGGGTCGTGGCGGCGGACGGCGACGCGCACTCGTCGGACGAGGAGGAGGAGGTGGAGCCGAAGGAGCCGCTCTTTGATCCCTTCGTCCTCTTCTTGCTGATCGTCTCCTGCTGCTTCTTGCCGGAGGAGGACGACGAGCCGAAGAAAGGCATGCTCAGCTTCATGGCCGAGGCCGACGATCGGTGTTGCGTACCTTGCACTTGCAGGCGAGGGATTCGAGGATCGATGGATTGCTCGAGAGTTAGGGAGGGGATCAGGGGAGGAAGGAGGCAGGAAGATGAGGGGTGGAGATTGGAGAAGACGAGGAGTTATAGAGGGCGCGAGGGACGGGGGAAGTGAGCTTCCACGAAGCTTCGCGCCCGGCCGACGCGGGAAAACTAACGGCCGGTTCGTTCGCACTCCGCACGGGGGACGGGGGCGGGGCCTACCTGACTGACCTCACCGAAAACTCTCCTCAGTCCTCACCCCCGACACGCGATGCGATTCTCTCGCTCGCCTCCGCTTTGAAGGCTTCTTCCTCCTCTCTAGATCCCCGTCTTCGTCGTCGTCGTCTAGAGCTATAGGTGTGCGTACACGTACGGCGGAGATGGATGCGTCGTACGTCGTCGTCGTCGACGGCGCGATCCTTTACATACTACTGCATGCAGCACCGCCGCACCTAACGCTCTGGCATCAATTGCAGGGTTTCATTTGCTTGGCAACATGTACAGTTTGTCTAACCCATTTAGCTTTGCTGATTAAACATGTAGCTTATATGCATGGTTTTCAAACTAGTACATAGTTTCACATATTACTTGATGCATGTCTCTGTGGTTTTCAAAGTTTGATTAAATCTTAGCCTAGCTTTTATAACCAAGGGAGGGAGATGATCATGCATTGACGGTGACATGCATGGCCATGGGTGGATTAATATTGATCCAAGCAACGGCGGTCAATTGGCGGCTGATATGAAAACTGAATTTAGTCGACCACTAACACGGTTATAGAGACACGTACGGGTGCAGCTTTTTAATAAAAAAAACTCCTAGCTAGTTCAGAGAAAGGGACACCAAGTCGGCATCGTGTGATCTCGGTCTACTTTAAAAAAAACGATATTTTCACGGGTACTCAAACAAACAAACGTCAGTATCACTGCACATATGCTAGTACATTTTTACTGGGCACGTTTTGGTGTCGTATACGGTGTACATACTAGTACACACAGCAGGTTGAATGCCGATTGAGTTGAACGAAGGTGCGAGGAAACTTCGGTCGCGTTTCGTAAAGTGTCAGGAAACTAAGCTGTGTGTAGTTGGCGAAAAGAAAATTGTTGAATGTCACATCGGATGTTTTGAGAATATTGGAAATGGTTTTTGGATATTAATAAAAAAACTAATTACATAGCTCGTCCTGAAAACTACGAGGCGAATTTATTAAGCCTAATTAATCCATCATTAGCATATGTTAGTTACTATGGCACTTATGGCTAATCATAAACTAATTAGTCTTAAAATATTCGTCTCGTGATTTTCAGCCAAATTATGTAATTAATTTTTTTTATCTATATTTAATACTCCATACATGTACCGATAAAATTCGATGTGATAGTTTGAGATGACCTCATGACAGACCCATTCTAGGTGATGGGATTCTGACAAACCATTACGGAGTACATTCTAAATACAAGTTTATACAATGACCTTGTGACAGACCATTTAGATGATGGGATTATGATAGACCATTTCATTCTCCAGAAAACTGTTCAGTGCAGAATGAAGAAGCTGTGGATGGCTCATGTAAGCCAGACAGCACCGAGCAGCATGACAGTTGCAGTACGGGCGTACGGTTCCCCATGCTCCAGAAGAACGTATCGAATTGGAGAGGACATCGCACTTACACTGTTACACAAACAGGCTACAATATAATACACTGAACGTTACTAGAGAAAACACAAACTAAATATTGATCGAATTAACCATCGTACGATCTACATGAGCACCGTGTTCCATGTGGCGTATTACCGATACAACGCGTGTTTCACAATTTAGCCACAGGGCGTGAGCTTCTTGTTGCCTGCGCCGCGGGGGTTGTCATCCTTCCAGTCGTCCCACGCTCTTGCTTTCGCCTCCTCGGCGTCCTCGTCCTCTTGGGCCGAGCTGGTGCCATCCTTGTGCCACGCAGAGTTTGCTTCTTTCATCATCTCGGCGGTCCTCTCTTGCCACTTCTCCATCATTTTCATCTCGCGCAAACCAGCTTCTTCTATGCTCATTGTTGGCATCCTGTCATTCAAGCGAGGACAAACAGGCAGAAGAAAAGGAATCAAATGACACTCTCGTAAGCTCTGACAATGCTTCATGACCCTAAGCATCAAGAATCAAGGGGTAAGATACAAGGATTATCACTAGTAATATCAATCGGTCACTACCAGCAAATCTAAGCATTTTACATGACTTGAAACTTGCTGTATCTTATGGCTACGCCAATAAGGAAACAGTTCAAAGTGTGATTTATTAGGAATTGTGATAACTAATGCTTATTCCACATTCAGAAATAACATTATCGTTAGCAGAAATGCATACCATAGAAAATGGTAAGCATTGAGGTGTTCCAGGGTATAACACAAGGTAAACATCAGCTTTCAGGGGTATAACACTTAATTTAAACCTGCACCATACCTGTAACTGGGCTGAAAAACTTGTGCTGCCATTCTTTCCCTTTCACTGGTTAGACCACCACCAACAAGACTTGCAGGTCCAAATATCAGGGGCTGGTGTTTGTGCTCGTGAGCTTGTGAAACGTTTGCTCTACCTTCAATTACATCTTGAGCAAATGTTGCGCAAGTGATTGGATCAGCTGGTTTGGAATATGCCACACGGTTGGCAGCATTATGGTGCCATGCTTCAGCCTTCTTTGTCCGTTCATCAAGCATTTCACGAGCAAATGCATTCCCCTCCTGAAGAAATGGAAATGTTACAGCAGACAACTTTTCTGATTAACAAAAGAAGTCTCCATACACATGCAGAGTCTACTTGAAACAGCCATGCAAATTTGGGAAGCCAAAGCACCATCAGTGAAAATGGCTGCTTATTGGTAGAAGATCCACTGGAGTCTATGAAGTGTTAAACGTTTTAGTATCCACGTTTTCTTCATAAATATGCAAAAACTATTTAACAACCAGATTCATCCATTGAAATATTTTTATAATTCCTCAAATAAAAACATGGGGGTGAAATACTTCCAGTTGTGTTCTGTATCAGTTGTCAATCATAAGAAACAAAATAAGATATGCCAATCACAAGACAGCATATCTTCAGTTAACATTAAACAAACCCTGTGTAGAATTTTGAGAAACACAGCTACTCTTAACGCCTTGCGGGTTGATCTACATGAAAGCTACTTAATTCTTTTCAAAATATTTTTCTCAAGTTTGGTTCCAAGTTGAAACTTTGTCATTCTAGCTAGCAATACATCTGATCCAAATCGCACAAAGCAGACATTATATGCATTTATCTTATTTGTGAAACATGATAGCCTGAGACTCCCACATTCTCTCAAGAAAAAAAATGTTTATTGAAAATAATTGACCTAAGATGCTACTGACAAGAAATTACCAAATCACTATCATTAGCATTACCTTTGCCTTCCTTTCCTTTACAGCTAGAAGCATTTCTTCTTCCTTCTTTAGCATGTCGAGAAGATCAAATGCCTGCGTATGAAAATAAAAATATATATATATATATATATATATATATATTAATGCATCAAATATTACTATGAATGCAAGTACTACAATTTTGAAACAGAAAAAGGAACTAAAAAATCAGTGTTATGTAATATTTCTCCACACAGCAAACTAACCTTGCAGATAGCCAGTGAGATGGTAGCTAACCAAGCCTGCAGCATAGAAAGGGGAAATCAGAACCAGAGCATATGTTCTGATTAATATAAAAACAAATGCAAGTTAATACAAGTTGCAAGGACACATTGACCAGAGACGAAACAGCGCTAAAAACAAGATTCCAAAATAATTATTCAGTCATGAGAAATAAAATAGCATAGAAAGTACACTGAGGGCTAAAAATTGAAGACCTTGAAGTGAGGATTTTACTGCTATGGGATAAATTTGATGGTAGCAGTGTTTCTGTGTCACAAACTCACTAAAGAGAACAAAAGATCCTCATCGGCTTGGTATACAGTATGTAGGAGCATACAGGGTATGTGGTTGACAGCCTGCGGGTATCTAAGAAGCTAGCTACATGCAGCAGATTGTAAAGCTCCCTACAAGCATCAGACTAAAAAAATTAAAATACCACCATCAAATGGAAAAGCTTTATCTTCTAAAATATCATAGTTCATTTTATTTTGAAAAAAAAAATCCTCCTTTCAAGAAAAGCAAGGCCATACTAATGGTATGCCAAGGATCGTTCCAATTTGAAATACGCTGAAATTTAGAAACCTAAACATATCATGAAAACAGCTTCCAGATGTGGGATGCTAACCTCTCTTTCTTCCTCCCCATCATCCCCCAGGTCATCTTCCTCTCCAGCTTCAATTGGGGCAGATAAAGCAGCTGCCCTCAATGAGCGTCCACGCCTTTCCTTTCTCTCTCTGATCTCTTGGAGCTTCGTTTCTGCAGCCTTTTGACGTTTGAACCGGGCAACCTAGGGAAAAAAACAATAAAGAGTGAACTACAGAAACCCGACCCACCTTAAACATCTTACAATTAAAATCAGCCTGTGCATCATATATTTTGAACAACAAGAGAACCATGTCCCATATTACTGTGCTCCAATTACAGAGTAGAAACTGCTGACTGATACCTTAAGAATTTAAAGGAAAGTAATTCAGTCTCACCTTCTGCGCTCTTCTGTTTGCCATAGTATCAGGCTGCTTCTGCCTGGACAATTCTAGCTCATCCTCTGGAATAAGCTCTAGTACTTCACATAGAGCAATGAACTCCTGTGGAGTGCAAAAGGAGGTAACGTGATGACAGAGTACCATGCTAGAGAGTAGAGACCCCTCATTATAAACGAATTAAAAAGCTGCACCTAGTGAAACAATGTGACAGGGCAAATTGGTAACCTTCAAATGGTCCTGTGATGCCTTAAGAACCGGGATCCGATCCTCCTGAGCTATCTTCTCAGTCATTTCCGCAAGGTAATACGGAACCTACGAATGCAAACAATGATCAGAGGTATACAGAAGAAAATCGAACTTGTGAAACACTGGAACAATTCTTAAGTTTACTAGCACTGTTGTGATTTGCAATTGTACTGACAACTGAATAAAACTGACAGGGCGTGATTTCCAATTGTACTGACAACTGAATAAAACTGACCAGGCATCTAGTACCATCACAACCTGTTCCACGGACTTGCACGGGGAGCAATTGAGGGGGAGGGGAAGGGCATACCAGTAGATACTTGAGGTTTGCGGTGGAGACGTCTTCCTTGGTCTCGTTGCGGGAGAAGAGGCCGAGCTTGCTAACCATCTCGTCGCAGCGCCGCAGCAGATCAACCCCCGTGCGGATCCCGTCCTGCGCGGCAGAAAAACCAAGCGCGTAAGCACCGCTCGCCCGATCTCTATCTCTTGGTGAGCGGGAGGAGGGGCGGGGGCGATCCCAGTTCCCAGAAGAGGGGGGAGGGTGTAGGCACCTGGTCGAGGGCGGAGCTGGAGGCCAGGGCGTGGAGCCGCGACGCCCTGTCGAAGAGGACCGGCAGGGGGAGGTCGGCGGCGTCGTCCTCCGGCTCGGCGTGCAGGCGCATCTGCGATTGCATCTTGTTCCCGACCTCCTCCACATCCACCATTTCGACCGGTCGGACGGTTGCCTCGCGGAGCCGGAAGCAAGCAAGCGAGCGAGCGAGAGGTCGGCGGCAAAACCCTAGCGGAGCGGGGCAGAGGAGAGCCGCGGGGAGGAGAGGGAACAGAGGAGAGAGCTCCAGAAGCCTCGTCGCGGGGAGGACGCTGGACGCAGAGCTGGAAGATATCTTTTATTTTATTAATTAATATAAAAAATAAGAGAAAAAACGAAACACGGAGTACAATTTATGAAAGCTTGTTTACACTCCATCAGATACTGTTTCTTTTTTTTTCAGCCTTTTACCCGTATGTCATTAAAAAAATTTATAATTACACATAAACCATTAAAAAAGTTGACCGCACACAGGTGTCACTGCTCTGAACTTCTTTGCCTTACAAGCCATTCTTCCTTATTCTGTTTGTTTTTTGCCGTTTGGTAGCCCTTACAAGTGGGACCGGTCAGTGAAATTATCCATGTTGTCCTTGGGCGGTGAAGACCGTGTTGACTACGATTGACCGCCACCTCAGTCCCTCACTCTCCCCATCTCGCTCGAGTCCTCTTCCCCCACACCCTAGCGGCGTCGGCGGGGAGAGAAGAAGGCAATCCCGCCCTGCTTGCGGCTGTGGCGTGGAAAGAAGAACCCCCCAATCCCATGCTTGCGGCATGGAATGGGGTAGTGGAGCAAGGAAGAGACCGTGGATCCTTTGGATTGGCGGCGCATAGCCGCGAACAAGGGAGGGCGCGGACGACCGACCTCCTTGGCTTTCTGACGGGTGAGTACTATTTTTAGGGTTTTTTCCGCTTCGATTGCTTGATCCTTGTGATTGTGGTCAGTTAGGTGTAGTAGTCGAGGTTGATATAGTGTGATTTTAGATAGATAGATGTATGTGAACTCGCTGTTGTTCATCTGTAGGATGGACCCTGCTAGTAGCTACAACCTAGAAATCCGGATAATTGCTCGCCATATTCGTGCTCGGTGGTTTAGCTTGAACAAAGTCGTCGATGCTGATCATACCAACTTCGTAGATCTGGTTCCTGAAGTTGAGAATAAGTATTCTTCTGATTATAGGGATGTTGTGAGATTGTTTTACTTCTGCATTGAGAGACAGATGAACATCCAAGTTTGCACCGACCAAGATTTGCTTGACATGTTTGCAAAACATAATGCTTCCAAGTGCTGCTTCCTAACTTTTGGTTACCACAGCCCCAGTACTGAGCCTCCTGAAATTCCTCCTTGGGATTTTAGCAGTTCTTGGCAGTCTGTTGAGAACCCCTTCACCCCTTCACTGCCTTGTCCTAGCATTACACAACCAAGCCATACCCAGAGTTAAACTGCAGATGATGAATACCTGGCTAACCCAAACCCATCCAATGAGCATGTGGGTGTTGATGAGGAAGGGTTGTATATAGACCTTGGTCCTCAACATCCACTACCTCCTAAACCTTAGAGTCAAGGTTGTAGCAAACAAAGGGATGGTGAATGATCTGATGCAGATACATACTGTGAAACAAACAGTGATGATGAATCTATGTCTGATGATGATGATAATTATGAAATGGAAGATGTAGATGATATTGTTAAAGATAATGAGCCTGATCATATGTCTGATGCTGAGTATGACAAGAAGGATCCTCCTATGATAATAGGCAGTGTCTATAGAGATATGTATGCATTTAAGCTGGCTTTAGCTTCACATGCTGCCAAACATGAGTTTCATTATGACATTGAAAAGAGTGACTCAGGAAGGTACAGAGTTTACTGTTGTGGGAGTACTGAGGGCTGCAGGTGGAGAATTCATGCCTCAACCATGAAGGATGATGAATCAATTAAGGCAATTTGTTAGTTTTGAATTTGTATGCTTTTTTATCTGTCAGTTGTTTTCAAATATAAGTATTTCATTTTTATGCCATTTGCAAGTGAAGAGGAACCCATATCCCCATACTTGTGAAAGCAAAAGGAGGTCTGGTGTATGTAAAGGGGTTACATAGTTTTGGGTCTATGAACAAATGATTGACTGGTTGAAAGAAGATGCAACTTGTTGGGGACCTAATACCGGGGTACCCAATGAGGTGGAACTAATAACCATCTAACGCCGACACTTCTCGGTTAGACAAGAGCACTACTGCGCTTCTTGCCCGAACGACGGAAGATTAGTTCCGCCTCGCCCGACCACCGAGGGCTAGGTTCCACCCCGCCTGATGGCTCATGGTGGGCTCCGCCTCACCCGATGTCTGAGAGCTAGGCTCCGCCTCGCCCGATGGCTAAACGACGGCTCGCCTCGCCCAATGGCTAAGGGCGGGTTCCGCCTTGCCCGACGTCCGAGGGCTAGGCTCCACCTCACCCGATGGCTAAACGACAGATCCGATGTCAGAGGGCTAGGCTCCGCCTCGCCCGATGGCTAAAGACGGGCTCCGCCTCGCCCGACGTCTGGGGGCGCTCCGTCTCATCCGATGACTACACCCTGATCCTTCGTGAAAACGAGCGTAGGGTACGACAGGACATTTGAGTCAACCGCAGCATCGAGGGCCATGCCCTGCGCGCCTGTGGGAAGGCACCATCAAGATATGATGGGACAGGCGCTTTAAAGCCCTTTCCGACATAACAGTGCCCGAATAGTGTTGTAGGCGCCGACTTTTGTCCCATACTGTAGTAGGCGCCGCCTTCAGCCCTCGGGCGCGGATACTAACACAGGCATACGACAACCGCTACAATCCAAGGAAAAACTCACATCATCTACAATAACAGGCGTACAGTCATCTCCCCGTCCGCTCCCCGCAGAGTCAGAGTCATGGCTCGACGCCCTAACACCCCGCACCATCTGTCGGGGAGGATGTGATGTAACCATTCGCTGAAGCAGGGCCAGGGCGTGGCCCTGTCAGGGGCAGCGAACGTGCCATCTCTAACACGGTCTGCCATGACAGCGGTACAGGCTCAAGGGAAAAGGAAAGCTTGGCACCTTCGAAAGGAGACCTCCACCTTAGGTTTTTTCCTCTTTCTCCCATCTATACACCCCCTGCTCCCCCCTTGGTCTATAAAATGGAGGGCAGGGCTCTCCTACCGAGGGATCAGTTCAACACACAACACATCACGCATACGGCCAAGCAGCGACCGAGCTCTTGGCGTCCTTTTGACCATTCTATCAGAGACTTGGGACCTTTTCCTCTCTCGACCATTTTGTACCCCCTACTACGAACCTTTTTCGGTACTAATAACACGAGCAGCAGCAAACTAGACATAGGGACATTTAGCCCAAACCAGTATAAACCTTGTGTCCTTTAGTGCACCATCCGGGCCTAACACGCAATAATTATAAATTTACTAGCCGGTGTTTGTTCGAAACACCGACAGTTGGCGCGCCAGGTAGGGGCCTTTGCGTGTTCCAAATCAGATCTCAGATGGCATTGGCTCATCTCGCCATCCAGTCTCTCCCTCCATCCGGCTCCGCCAGCACAGCAGGCAGAGACCGACCAGACGTCTCCCTTGGACCCCACGATGCCTAGAGGAGGACCCGCATTCTCTCTCATACTCGCCATCCAGTGCCCTCCCTTCATTTGGTCTCCAGAACGCCATGGCGATCGCTAGCCACCTGGTGGCACAGCGCGCGATCCCGTCACCCGTGAACAATGAGTTTGTGGGGATGATCAAAAGCATCACAGAATCCCTCCACGGCCTCCTTGCGGAAGGCCTAGGGTCAGACTCTGGCTCTGACTCCAGCAGGGGGAGCCATCATCCTTCCCGGGAATGTTTCATGGCGGAAACCTCCGAGGGACACGTTGAAAGCGTCTCCGCGGAGGAGACTACCCTGGTGGGCAACCTTGGTGGCGCAACTAAAAGGAGGATAGCGGCCCCGCCTCACGTAGGGATGGAGCAACTGAGAGCCCGGAAGCGAGAAATAGACGAAGCCGGACAACAGCTTGTTCGGGAGTACGAGAAGGTCGATGAGGAGATCAGACGCCGCGAAGATGGCGGGCACGCACGTGCTGTGGCCTGTGACGTGAACCAAAGGATCATCGCCGATGGTGAAACCCTTCCTCACTTTGCTCGAGCAAGCCAGAACATCGCCGTCGCCATGGCTTTGCTCCATGGCCTTCCAGAGGCCGCAACACCCGAGGATCGTCGGGCCCACCGCAAAATTTGCATGCTACTTGAGCACGCGGCGGCGCAGTAGGCGGAGAGCTCGTTGTCTCGGCGACGCGGGCTCAACACCAGCCAGCGTACGCCCCTCGGTGCGCCCCGCTAGGGACGCATCAGTCCACCAAGCACCGCAAGGCGGCGGGCAGTGCGCTGCGACCCCGGTACATCTACGTCTCGGCCACAACCGCGACGCACGCAGCACCCTCGACGCCCGCAGACGCACCTGCAGCGACCCAAGGGAAGGAGCCCACCGCGGCTACCATCCACGACATGGTGGACGCTACGGCAGCGGCAAGGACCGGAGCCCTAGCCCCGGCCTGCCAAGGCCTCAGGCCTTCAGCCAGCACATCCTCAACGCTACATTCCCGCCAAGGTATCGACCACCTACCAATATTCCTAAATACTCTAGGGAGACAAACCCCGGACTTTGGCTTTAAGACTATCGGCTTGCCTGTCAAGCCGGTGGCGCAGATAATGATGACTTCGTTATCCGCAACCTTCCACTGTTCTTGGCCGATTCGGCCCGGGCATGGTTGGAACACTTTGTGGGAGATCTAAAGGAGATCTTCGTGGAAACTTCCATGGCACGTACAAATGCCCTGGGAACCCATGGGACCTCAAGAACTGCCGACAGAAGGCCGGTGAGACCCTCCACGGGTACATCCGGTGCTTCTCCCGATAGTGCAACGAGCTCCCTAACTCGCCGACGTCGCCGACGTGATAGGAGCCTTCCTGTCTGGGACGACCTGTGAGTCCTTGGTTCATAAGCTGGGATGCAAGGGCCCAGGAACCACCAAGAAACTCCTGGACATCGCCACTAGCCACGCCTTAGGAGAAGAGGCGGTCGGAGCGATCTTCTATTGTCTCGAGGG